TTTGGAAGAGCATGCAGGGAGTTATGGGGACAAAATTAATTTTCAGCACTGCCTATCATTATCAATTTGATGGACAGTCTGAAAGGACCATTCAAATCTTATAAGACATGCTCTGAGTATGTGTCTTGGATTTGGGAAGTAGTTGGGAGTCACACCTATCATTAGTGGAGTTTACATACAATAATAACTTTCAGACTACTATTGGCATGGCTCCTTATGAAGCCCTCTATGGTAGAAGATGTAGATCTCTAGTTTATTAGGATCAAGTGGGAGAAAAGGGGATTTTAGGTCAAGAGATTATTGCAATAACAGTGCAAGCAATTGACAAAATTAGGGACAGAATAAAATCTGCTTAAGATAGACAGAAAAGCTATGCAGGTCAACGGTGAAAATCGATTGAATTTGAAGTCGATGAGAAAGTGTTTCTAAAAGTGGCATCAATAAAAGGAGTTCTTAGATTTGTAAGAAGGAAAAGTTGAGACCTTGATTCATAGGCCCTTTCGAAATTCTAGAAAGGATTGGGAATGTAGCACATCGTATAGCATTGCCACCTAGACTATCGACAATACATAATGTATTTCACGTGTCGATGCTTAGAAAGTATGTGCATGATCTTGAGTATGTGATTAGCTATGATTCATTGGAGGTACAGAAAGATATAACGTATGAAGAGACATCTTTGGAGATTATCGAAAAGAAAATACATGCATTAAGGAATAAAGAAATTGCCTTGATTACGGTTCGATAGAAAATCATGGAATCGAAAAGGCTACTTGGGAGAAAGAAGAGGAAATGAAAGCCAAGTATCCAGAACTTTTTGACTAAATAAGATAATTTCAAGGGCAAAATTATTTTAAGAGGGTAGGGATGTAGCATCCCAAATTTTAAATCTTAATTCCATATGGGCTAAATTTAAATTGGTGATTTAGTAAATAAAATAGTCCATGTCAAGTCTCGTCGTCAAATTAAGGCTCAAAAGTTGAAGTGATCACGTGACTATCTTAATTGCATAAATGATTTATTTTATGTATATAATTTATCGTGAGTTATTTGTGTCGAATATTTAAGTATTTTAAAAGTTAAAAAAAATATATCGATTTTATACTCATTTTGTAGCTTGTGCTAGATAATATAAATTGTCTCAAAAAAATAATTTTGAACTAGTCATATTCGAAAGAAAAAAATAATATAAAAAAAGGTCAAACAAACCTTTCATTTCAGCCGTTTTCTTGGCTAATTTGAAAAGGTACCATAATTAATAAATTAATCAATTTTCTTTGATTGTCACGCTCAACCGACAAAATTGATCGATAAGAATAAAGGATATATTTATTTCACTCTATACATTTTGGATTTGTATGGACATTTTGAGTAATTGATGATGATACAAATAAATGTATTTATATAGTGTATGTGTGCAAAAGTTTTCTTTACTCATGCAGAAAAATAAAAGTATCCACGCACGTTAAACCCACCCGTTAAATAAGATTATTTGTTTATTTTACCAATCACTTTTAGAATTTTACAAGTTGGGCTCTCTCTCTCTTACAAACATTCTATCCATTTTTATTATTGTCTCAAAGAATATTTTCAGAATTTTTATTCAATTGAGGTAAGAAATGTGCAAGTGGCTAATTCTTATTTTCTTGATAGTTTTATAGATTTTGGCATGAAATACATTAAGGCCTTCGGGTTGATTTTTATGTTAAATTATACGGGATGGATCGTTTGGTCGAGTATGTAAATCCTACGAGATATAGGAATTCTCATGAAATTCCTTGAACTATTGGATGTCGCGACCAGTTTGCTCTAAATATAAAAAATGTCGGTATGCCATGTTCTTTTTGTAATTGTATCATGTTAATAAGAATATGCATTTTTTTCTTACTGGGTATTCACTCATACTAAATTTTCAGATTAGTCGTATGGACGCGTGGCGGATTGATCGAGAGATGCTTATGGGGTCTCCAAGTAAAACTTTTAAAAATGATTATGGCCAATTATATTTCAAGAAAATTTTTATGTAATTCCGTATATGTTATTTTAGTAGTTTCGATATTTAAGTTATTTAACATGTTAAATCTACAATTTAATTCTTAGTACTTTAAGCTAAATAAAAATAAAATTTTTATTTTGAATTGTTGAATTCACATTATTGATTTAGTGATCAAATACCAAAATTTATACGTTAGTGTTAAATCTCCGCTTAAATTAGACAAAAAAGATGTTGATAACACCTCGAGCATATTTTTATACAAGAATAAAATAATGAAAATGAAAATGATCTCGGGGTGTTACAAATAATATTTAGATGATCAACGTGATGGGACCTCGTATATCACTTAATTAATTTTTAGAAATATAGGGAATTCAATCCCTATTTTAATTAGTGGTGTTTAATAATCAATTGTCAATAAAAAAAATAAAATGATACATTAGAATTGAAGAATCTTCTAGTTCTCTTCATTGAACACCCAGTAAAATTTTTTAATTTCATATCATTATTGATCCATTGATGGTCCAACTAATCACGACAAAGAATAAAATCAAATTAAACTTCTGGTTCAATATAAGATATAATTCAATTATTTAATTTTGAAAAATATGATTAAACATTATATAATTATATAGCATTCAAGTAGTCAAACTAATCAATGTTTTCAAGACATTAGTTACATGTTTTCCTCAGGGATAAACATGAATTCAAAAATATACATTATTTGAAACATGTACTGTTTTGAAAGTAAATTGTGATTTTTTTTATTGCTCCTTCAAAAGCAATATGCCATATTCTTTTGAAATATTGAAAATTATAATTCAAGTTATTTGGGAGTAATCAAATATTATTATAATAAATTATACAAAAATTTACTATTTGAGAAGAAAAATATAATTTATGTTAGATTGTGTGTAATTATACCTTTGAGAGTAAGTAAAATCTAACTAGAATATTAATGAAAATTATAATATTCTATTTTGAGATTATATTATATTTTACTATTACTTCTTCAAAAACAATAGATCAATATTTTTCTAAAATATGAAAAAATTTAAATAACATATTATTGTTTACTATAATAAATATATAAAGATCTACTCTGCATGAGTAAAAACGTAATTTTATGTTAGATCTTATATTATTATACTCTTCAATAACAATAAAATTTAACCAGAATATCAATATCTAAATACGTATGCAGAAGAATTGACACGTTAATAAACAGAGTAATTTAATTCCTGATTTTATGTAGAATCGATCAATATTCTTCAGGAATATTGAAATTATAATATCATATTCTTTTGGAATAATTAATATTCTTTTTAAAAATATTAATAACATTGTGTTTCTTCACGAACACCAACACAATTTTTTTTACAATATTAAGTTGTGCTTTCTTCAGGAACAAAATGAGACATATAATCTTCAAGAGTATATATACAATATTCTTCTTAAATATTGACATTAAGGATTCGTTCTACATTTCGAGCTAAATAATAAAATTTGTGCCCTACATAAGTAATAATGAAATATTATTTTGAAATATTTATATAACGTGTGTTGTGTTTTTTTTTCGAGAACATCAACGTCATATTCATTTAAAATAAATTTAATTTAAATTATGCTTCTTCAAGAGCATTGAGTCAATATTCTTCTGGAATATTGAAATTGTAATATCATGCTTTTCATAAACAAGTAATATTCTACTGAAATATTAATAGTGTTGTGTTATTTCAGGAGCAACAACGAACTATTTATAATAGATAGATATATAATTGATACTGTTTTGGAATATTAATTATAATGTTGTACTATTTTTGGAGCAACAACTGATAAATTATTAATTTGAAGTTTATAAAACAATATTTAAAAATATTTAATTACCACATAGACATGATATGAATTTATATAAAAAAATTAATTACAAACAGGCATTAAAAAAAAATCTCCATACATAGAAGTTAATAAAATTGACTAAATTTTTTATCAACATGTAAAAGGTACTAAACATACACATGAATTTCACATATACAAAAATCGAAAGTAGAACTAATATGTGACGGATACAAAAGACGGAAATAATGTGTATAAATTACACATATAAATGTGAATTAGAATTAATATGCATATCAATGAAAAATAGAGAATAAAAAACAACCTTGTTATGATGCATGCGTACATCGAAAGAATACACATGCCACTAAATTAATTTTAGTACATGTGATCAATATTTATACTTATAAAAAATATCACATTTACTAAACTTTAGAAAATTAAGCTATTGATTGATAACGTATTGTGAAAAAAGAAAAAAAAAAGAAGAAAATAGAGAGAAGTCTTTAGATTCGTGTGTATTTTATTAAGAACCAAATCTCTATATTTATAGATAAAAATCAAGGATACAGCGGTAATAATTTCTAGGATTGCATAGGTAAATGTGCTATTCACCAATAAACCCTAATAAACTTACCATTTACAACACATGATTGTCTACCATTCTCCATTTTTTTTAAACTCATTTTTAACCACAAATTTCCACCAAAAAAATTTGTATGTTAATCCAAAAAAATTTCCATTTCTAAAAACCACTATTACGAAACTTATTTTCCTAAAAGTACTCTTTTTTAATAGACATCAAACAGGGAAATAGTTAACTATCGATTTGAATGAGTTTTGAAAAAAATATCCAATATCATTTTCATTTTCTTTATACTTTAGGGTAGAATCAAATAAAATTCGAGTAAAATCGATCGAACTAGCAAGTTTTGATCCGATTTTGATTCGACCCAATGGTTTTGGTAAATTTTTCCCACTCCTAGTCATATGATGAAAAGGATTATTTCTATACCTAAACCTTCACCTGAGGATGCCAGTCAATGATTGAAAGAATATGTCCTGATTCTACACAAGGGCTTTAAGTTGTGACCATTTGTGCAAATAAGCCAATATAATATACTGCTACCAAATATATAATTTTCCAAAATAAATTCCCCATTGCTAAAAGCGTTTCCCATATTCTCTCCTCTCTCAATTCTACTACATAGTCTCTTCCTCTTCTGGTATAAACAATAAATCTCAAGAACAACAAATCGTTCTACAAAACTATGAGGTGCAAATAAATATGCAACTATTTTTCTCTTAAATAAGCCATTAGTCCAATGCCTTTTTCTTTTTTTTCTTTATCCTTCCTTTTTTTTTCTTTTTTAAGTGATAATGAATGATTTTTTTTTTTTATTATTTTTTTTAGTAAGCAGCCAGAGGTTCTGTGGGCACAGCGGTCAGACAAGGTTTACCTGACCATTTCTCTGCCGGATGCCAAGAACATTTCTATAAAATGCGAGGCTGAAGGGATTTTCGCCTTTTCTGCTGTTGGGGTCAATGGTGGAGACTTTAATTTCACTCTCCAACTCTATGGGAATATTGTTCCTGAGGTCCCCTTTTTCTATCTAAGACTTTTTTGTAATTAGTTATCTGTTTTTTATATGATCCGATATTTTTTGTTCAATTTTGGTTTTTGAATTCAAATTTTGATAAATGTTGTATCTCTCCGTTGTTTGACATGAAATTGGATCTGAAAGAATATAATGCAACAAATACATTAAAACATCAATAAATGTATAGGAAATTCCAATTGTGGGAAATAAATAGGAACTCAAGATCTCAGTTTTAATTAATCTAATGAATTAAGGGATTAAGGTTGGAGAATCTAGATAAAAAAAAATATGAGTTTAATATGAGTTGTCTAAGTGAGTGCTTAAATAACGTCTGAATTTTTTTAGTAAGTCAATATGTTGTTTGCATATTAACTTGATGCTGTGTTAAGATTTGGAGTCAATGACGAGTTTGTTTCAGTATTAACTCGATTTTGTTAAAGATTTGGGGCCAATTATTATTATTATATTATTTTATTTTTCCGTCATTTCAAGAAGTTGATATCAGTGGACAGTAATTAGACATGCTGTTTGATTTCTTTTAAAATGTAAAGTTGGGCTAAGATGTTATGTGACTCAACTGAAATGGCAGTTTAAATTTTTGTCAGAATCTTTATAATCTACCTCATGAAGTAAGAAGTTCATTTTTCAGGAAAATTTTTTGTAGCTATGATGTTTTATCTCTATTATATGATGTACTAGACCCTTCAAAATTGAGAAATTAATTGCCTATGACTCGTGACGTAGTTGATGAAGTGTGCAAGTGTTTTTTTCTCTGGGTTATGATTGAAGTAGAGGAAATAAATTAAATGAGTTGTGATCACGAGTTGTTCGTTTTGTGCCATAAAACTTGGAAGAGTCAGACCCCACAAGCTTGCCATTAAGGTTGGAGAAACCAGGCCTATATAAACCACACAAAAAAAGTCCATACTTCCGATGTAGGATTTAGGTGCCTATACACTCCAATGAAAACCATGACAAACCACCATACTTCCGACTCGGCGTCCACGTCGAGCAAGTGCCCATACACTCTAAGTGGTAACTGAGATTAGAAGACATGATGCCTACTCTGATAGCATTGTCATAGAACTTGGAAGAGTCAGACAAAGCTAGTCGTTAAGGTTAGAGAACCCAAGCCTATATAAACCACACAAAAGAAGTTCATACTTCCGATGTGTGATTGAGGTGTCCATACACCCCAATGGGAACCATGACATTTTGTCTATCCATAACTTTACAGAATGCTGAATTTGTAGCATGGGGTAGATCTCTTTCTATTAGAGTTTGATTTTCCTTTTCACTTGCCCTTAATCCTTTAGCTACAAGAGGTAAAAGTTCCTTCATTGCCATGCCTCCGTCCCCTGGAACCATACACTTGCAAATTTTCCTCTATATGCACCTATCGAGAAATTTATGATAACATTGTTCCTAAGGTTAAGAATGTTTATGAAGGACTTTTTGTGTTTCTTGTCTCTAAGTGCTTGTTAAATGTTTCAATTACTTGCCAGAAAAAGTAGGTGTGAAGTATGTGGAGACAACATTGGGAAGTTGGCTTGTAACTTTTTGCAAATTGAAAGGAACTCATTTTTAATGGGGCTTCTTCTCTGGATTTATTGCGATAGCGTAAGTGGAAATTGAGTTTGCTTGTTTGACATATTTGGATTTCCTTTATCCTAGCAAAATAGTACCAACTAACAAAAGAAAAGAACTTCTGTACTCGAATATCAGTCTCTAGAACATATGCTGTGCTTACAATTTCTTAGCTCACATGCCTGAGTAAATTATGGATCATTCTTGTCCTTAGTCTTTTTTTTTTTGTCAGAACTTCTAATTGTTCTGAGAAGTAAAATGTAGGCAACCTCTAGTTTTAAGTTATCAGTATTTTGAAAATTGTTCCCATAGGTCTTACTGTTATGCCTGATAATTTTGAGCAATCATCCTTTTCATGTTATTTTTCATTTACGGCTTTTCCCTAAATGGTCATTGAACTTTTCTTAAAAGGTTCCACGGGGTTACTGAACTTAAAAATTACTCCTGTTAGTCACTTACCTTTGAAAATTGGTACCCCATCCATTACTGCGTAAATGATGCTTGTAAAATTGGAAGGATTTGATGACATGTCTAATGGTAAGGCTTATGTGGCACGCATTTGGAAACTATAAATCAGATTTTTACATAAATCATGCTATAATTAGTTAGAAACTATAATAATCCAACTCATAAAATCTGTGAAATTCAGATTTCGAAAAGCTCTACATTCAGTCATTAAAAAAAAACCTAAATATGCAATGGATGATTTGTTAAAAAAAGGGTCATGTACCTGTAGGCTCATGCTCAACATCTTCAAATCCTTCCAATTTTGCAAGCGTTGTTTATGCAATGATGGATGTGGTACTGGTATGAATTTTCAAAGTTAAGTAACTAACAGGGGCAATTTTTAAGTTCAGTGATCCCGTCGGAACTTTAAGAAAGGTTCAGTGACCATTTAGGGAATTAACTTGTCAAACTTACCTAGAAAGAAGGTTGTCTATTCTTCTATTCATGCATGGGGGTTACTTATAATGCAGTGTAAGACAAAAATTGGGTTAAGGAATATACTATGCTCTATTAAGAAAGAGCAAAAGGGATGGTGGAAAAGATTGTTGAAGTCTGAAGAAAAGCCTGCTCCATACATTAAGGTTGATTGGAATAAATGGTGCGACGAGGACGATGAAGAGTCGGACTGTAAGTTCATTCTATATCTTACAGTGTTTGTATTTTACTTTTCTTGATGGTTTTTGCATGCAATTGCACTTTTTTCCCCAAAAATGGACTTACTGACAAATAAATTTTTGGTAGATCCTAAAGTTGAATTGTGCTTCCTCTCTGTGTGCATTATATACATAAATCCTTTCACTATTGAAACTTTCTTTCATAATCTCGTTTGGATGATTTTAACACATTCATTAGTTTGTTAATGATCTCTCCTCTTCTGAAGTTATGCGTTTTGCGGCAGGACTGGAGAGTGGGTTTTATTTTTTCCGTAGAAGTATTTAGCAAAGAAATTCTACATCATTGCATTATAAGGAGAACATATCTCCATGCTCATAATTCTTTTGGATTTTCCACTTGTTTGGGACCAATAATTATATGCCTACTGATGTGGCATAAAAAATAATTGAAAATTAGTATATTTGAAAGACCGCTGATTATGTAGAACTAATGGTTTTTGTGCCTTGCACTTCTGATACTACTCTCGAAATAATTATTGTGAAAATTAGAACAAAAGAAAAAAATTAGAGTAATTGATTTTTTTTTAATCATTTTTTTGATTAAAAAATAAATGTAAAGAGAGTACATATGGCCGCTCTTACTTTCAATTATTTTACTTTTTTGTTTGAAGTTTTGCTATTTTTCCTTTTTTGAAGAAATTCGATTTACTAAAAAAATCTTTGCGAATATACACAATTTTAGGAGCTTGATTTATTGCAATACTTTTCACTTCTACAATATAATTTCTCAAATAGAATGGCATTCCACTTTTTAAGACATCAATTAATATTTGATTTATATGATTGAAGTCTCTTTATATAAATTTACTTGCCTTGTGAAGATTGGAAAAACTTCAATGACCCTTTTCTGATTCTGATCATGTTAAAAATATTAAAGATTTTGTTGGGCTCAATCCATTATCATCTGTAATATACAATGAAAAACGCGACTATGTAATATATTCTCAATAGGTCGTCATCTTTGTACAGTACATTTACGCCAAGCATGTGACCAACCACCATCATATTACAGCAATTCGAGATCATACATTCATGGGCCTGTGGCATAAGATTTTAGATAATTTTTGCGCATAATTTGTTGTGTTTGACACAACTTTTTGGTCCTTGCAGCAAATCTGGTTTCTGACGATGACTGTGTGGTAATTTGAACCTCCTTTTCTGTTGTCAAATATTTCCATGTAGTGACAGTAGGAATGCTTATTATTTATTAATATAGCATAAATGTTCTTCTGTTCCAGAATGCCGGTGAAGAGGATGAGAGCAGTGATGATGAAGGGATGCTGTGTGAGTTGAAATTTCCTTTACTGCACAGTTCTTACTCGAATATGATGCTTAAAAAGTTTAATTATAAGAAAACTTACACAAAATAGATAAATTTTTTACTGGTAAAACTCGAAAATAAGTAGGTTTCTTATTTTGACAGGCAAAAATTAATTTCAAAAAGTAACTAATTTTATATAAATAAGTAAAAAAAACCAGTAAAGTAATTAACATATTTGGAAACAGAAAGTTTCTTTTACTTATAAGCTTTAGCCAAACATGCTAATATGGTAGCCAATTGCTATGTGGTTGATATGGTATCCTGGTTGGGCTTATATGATTTTATGTGGCCATTTCTAATGGATTTCATCTTGCAATTTTTTTGCTGCATTATAGTTGTTTACAGGAACATTAGTTTATGAGGAAATTAGGCCCAGTACCCCATAAAAATAAGTATTTTGATTAATACCTTTTAAACTAATTAAACATTTTAATCAAGTAATAATTACATCCTATCATATCCTAAACCATTAACTAAAACTCCAACCTAAAGTGACCCCATAGAAACCCACTTATCCTCCTTAGAAACACTCCACTCCAGAGGCGATTTCCCCAACTCCGAGAAACCTCAATCTGAAATCTTCGTTTTTTCTATCAATTTCATCTCCATCTTCCTCCGTCTCTGTTTGCCTTCAATTTTCTCCTTCTCATTTCGTGGAGATCTTAAACACTGACCCTAAAAACTTCAAATTGTTGAAACCACAAGACGTTCCGATCAAAATTCAAAAATTTGTGTCCGATTTCGACTTATTCACTCCAACGCCGTCGTCGACTCCAACTCCTATTTCTACAGTGGCCAGCGAAAGTTGAAGAAGAAAAAATATTGATGAAGAACCATCTTCAAAGAACAAAATTTCTTCAACATCTTATAAACCTAAGGTAGCATTAACTGCAGGAGAGGAGTGTCAATTAAGTTTCCCCTCGTGTTTACATTTTATTTTTAGTTCCTTGTTGGGAAATTGACTTTCTGGTTTCGATATTTGTATGTGATGCTATGCCTTCTAGAAATTTTCACACCTTCCAAGTTCCCTTTTTGTTTTGTGTAAATACAAGTGATAGAAGGAAATTTAGCAAGGAAGTTCTGGCCCTGTTAATAGAAGTTGGAAAGCTGCAAATGATTATTTATTTCCTCTACCTTCTTGAACTTAATAATACTCGAAATTTACATTTTAAGTCTTTAGTCATTTTATAGTTTTCATAAGGAGTTTGTAAACTGCCTTGGTAACTATTGTGAGCATCGCTTGTTCTTGTTGGCGTGCTTGAAGCTTATGAGGAACTATAAAAAGAAATGATGATAAATGCAATTGTGTTTGAATCTACGATAGGGAAAATGAAAGTGATGTTAGCGTGAGGCTTGACTTGAGTGTTGAAAAAGGATAGGGGAAGTGAAGAATTGGGTTTGTCTGGGGGGCAGAGTGAAGACTAATATATGTTGTTACGTGGGTTGGTTGTTTGTATTGGGATTGGGATGCTTTAAACGCAAAAGCTGTTATGTAGGGTTGCTGCTTTCCTTTTAGTTCTTGGGTATGGCTTTTCTCTGTGGCTGATGCAAAACTTAGTGGGGTCTATTAAGAAATCAGGGCTATGAAATACACACTCTCACTTAATTAATGGGTAAGCTGATGCACTTCTTCATGCTTCTTGGCGATCAATTGGTTCTTTCCATTTTACTGCTCTTGGATGCATCAGATTTTTCTCTTTTTGATATAGTTTGCTACCTGAAATAAGAAAATTTATAGCAGGTTGAGATATTTTCTAACTACACGTTCTTCAAAAATTTACTATTTAAAAATGCATTTTCTCTTCAAAATAAGGCTCAAACAAGGGCTAAATTATTGAATTGGCATGAGAGGGTTTTAAATGAAAGGAAACTTAAAATAAGGAATAAATTCAAAAACCATATTTTCTCACACATAAATTAGTATACTACAACATTTTATATCACTTTTCTTGGGTTTTTGTCACTTTTTTTTTTTTTACACTTACGTCACTTTTTAAAGTTTATTTCATTTTTGTGTCACTTTTTTAAAGGTGTCATTTTTTTTGAATGTTTATCACTTTTCAAGTGTTTGACAAAAGTGATACATGCTCATGTATACGGTCACTATGTGATTGTTTTTTAAGATAAGAATTTTGTTTGCATTTAAATTTCGGTCACTTTTTAAAATTTTTGTCACTTTTTTTAATACTTATCACTTTTCTTCAGTCGCATTATTGATTTTTTATCACTTTTTTAATGGCAAACATCACTATTAAATAAAAGTGATATTGTATGTCATTTTTTAATAAAAAAAAGTGACATTTAACGTTTGATTTCTATGCCTTCTCACTTTTTCAATCAGTGTAATTTTTTAAATTTGTGTCACTTTTTTAAATTTGCATTTTTCTTAAGTTTCCGTCACTTCTTTGAGTAATTCTCACTTTTTAAAAAAGTTTTGTCACTTTTTTTTTTTTTAATAACTGTTTGCCATAATTTTTTCAATCATCTTTTTGAAATTCTATCACATTTTTAGTGACAAACATCATATTTTAATAAAAGTGACAATGTATGTAATTTTTTAATAAAAAAGTGACATTGTGTCACTTTTTTAATTTTATACAGTATTTTTTACTTCCAAAAAGTTTTCATATGATTTTTGAAAACACTCTTAATTTTAAGGGTATTTTTGTAAGTTGCCCTTAGTTTATTTCATAATTCTCGTGGGACGAAATTATTTATTAATGAATGCTTAGATTATCATTCATTTCTATCCATGAAATTTATAAAGAAACTAAACGAAATTAAAACAGAATAGAATTATTAAGGAATTATTGCAGCTCCTAGTTTCTTATATACACATTTCCTCCGCATTGCAGATCTTCCCGACTTGGAGAAGGCTCGAGGAACTTAATGAAGATCGAATTCGATTACTATGGAAATTAACTTGCATGGAGGTGATACTATGTTCTGCATCGTATGCATCCTGGTTACCAAGCTTTCGGCTTTTTTCTTATGGGGTTATCGGTTATCACCATAAATATTTGTATTAGACATGCAAGAATGCTGTATTTTGAGCAGAAAATCAGTACCAAGTTTTATCTGTAACTGTCTACTCGTGCAAGTCTTCAGTCTACTACGATCAGAGGTAAAATGGATCAAGCAGATGGCGACTCAGATTCTCCTTTCTTCACTAATGAACAAGCTATACCCATCAAAAAACTAATGAACAAGCTTTGTTTTGGACTAGGGGGTGTCAATTGGTTCGGCCAGGCGTCCCGCGTCCCCCTCCTCTCTCTGCGAGCACGGCCTATGCCTGTGCCTGTCGGGGTCACTAGACCTGGCCGTCCTTTTTAGTTTATTTTGTTACTTTTCTGATATAATAAAATAAAAGAAACTTAAAAAGAAGCCTACAGCTGGCTGCCAGAACACCCGAGAATCCAATATGGCCTCTCTTCGGACGAGCTGATCCACAACACTGCCCTTGGACTGAGCCGAGCAATGGTCATGTCATTTCGCTTTTGGCTGGCACAACCCTTTAAAGTTCGATATGTACGCAAGTGTAAAAATCTAATGTGAAACTCGCATGGATTGATTCACGCTCTTCTTCTTCATTTGACATGTTATGTAGATTCACAAATATGTACAAACAATGAGTTTAATGATTGCCTAATGGAAGTTGTGATGTAAACTCGATTGTATAAGGCTAATCTGAGAAATCACTACAACAAAGGTCGACAGTTTAAGTTCATGTGCACTCAAACATGTATCTCAAACCTAGTATAGTTACTAAGGTGGTCAAGTCTCAAGTATGGATATGGACCTCACATATTTTCGTGATGTTGGATGAGCGTTGCCAAAATTGTCGAGTAATGAGTAAAAATCAGATGTGCAATGTAACTAGTGTAGCTAAACATGTGGATCGAGATTGAGAGATGATTATATGTATCTCATTTTGACAACTTTTTAAAAGATGATTTTCGCACTCAACATTCACGAATGGAACAACACTTATAAATATATCAGTGATGCATGTTCAAAACATACATATAAATAGACACTCCTTCAAGTTATATCAACACTTTGATATCGAACATTAATTTTAACCTTATATTTAATAAATTTACAAGTACTATTCACCTTTCATTTTGAAAAATATAAAACTCAAGGGAAAAAAATAAATGAAACAAATGTCAAAATAGGAGAAAATAATTTTAGTAGTTAAAAAGGGGGGAAAGTAATTTTTCCTCTATATTAATCAATGAAGACCTGCGACAAAAACAAATATATTAAACGCCTTCCCGCCTTGTTGCTTTCTCGATAAATTCCTTAAATTTTAATTAAAAAAATCCATCTCAAATTGCAATAATCTCAATTTATCTCAATCCCAACAGATTTTACATAGAAGATTCTGGTAGGTTTTCTCGCTTCATTGAGAATCTGAGATGCCGCTTTCTGCTTTATATATATATGTTGCGTATGCATTTGATTCTTCTTTCTGTGCATAGAATTTGACGCTGAGGGAAAATGCGAAAGCAAGATACTATTTCTGCTTCATGTTGTACAACAACCTTGATTTTGTGCCTAGATCACTAATAGCAATCATTTTAGGTTTCTTGATTATGTATGTGAAGTTTAGGATGTTAGATCTAGTTGCTTTTGGTAATTAATGTTTTTCATCTGTTGTTTTGATTTATTTATTGAATTTCTTGAGGAAGTATTTAGAAGAATTTTAGCCTAGATCCGGGAAGGTGTAATGTGAAACTTGAATTTGACAAAAGTTCGAGTTATTAGTTAAATTTAAATTTTATTTTATTGTTTTGATTCCTAGTCATTAACTTCAACCTGATAAAAGTTTAGATCTTAGAATAATTATTTCTATTTTACTATGCTTTTTACTCGATTAGTAATTTAGTATGTTTCCGAATTCATGATGGATTATGTTAGTAACATGGATAATTAATGGATAAAAGTAGTAAATGTGAATATCATGTCCGTTGACCATGCGTTCATTTACGTTAGGTTTTGATATGTTTAATTATGTCGTCAACATAAAAAATAGTATTCTCAGAGTTCTTTGGTATATGTAAAGTAGATATCAAAAATAACTCATTTCCAAAAATGGCAATACGGAGATGCTGGACTTATTTTACGACCAAGAATCACTAGATACGACGTCCACCTGGCAGGTAGATTGCATTTAGGCCCATTCCGTGAGCAAATGTTTCCAACACTTTATGTATATTGTCTAAGCTTAATGGACAATTATGGCTGTCGTGTTAGATTCTTATGTCAAACTTGGTTGAAATTTCTCTAGTTTATAAGCAAAATACATATCTTTCCTTGTTTGAACAACTAATATGCAAATGTTTGAAAATGCTCAATTGAGTGCAGAGGTATTCCACCTTTTTGAGGAGAGGTGTAAGTCTCAACATAAACCAATAAAAAAAGATTTTTATTTATTTATTTTTTTTTTTGGGTAATAAACCATGTAGTCAAGTGAACAAAGAATAACATAGAAGGATTCATGTAGCTAACCAAAATTTTATGGGGAATAGGTTTAGTTAGTTGTTTTTGTATGTTAGTAAAAAATCATAAACCAACTTGAAAATGCATCATATAACAATTATTAGGAATGAAAGAAAAGATTGAAGTCGCATGTTTTGGGTTTCATCACTAGCCATTTGTCGCCGAAAGTTGCAACTTTATTGAGGAGAGTGGTTTGTGGCACTTAAACTATAGGAGGCTAGCACACACTTTGCTTGCTCTCTTCCCTGATTCTTCTGGATTTTTTTATTTTTTATTTTTCCTTTTTTAAGTTTTCAAGTTCGAGTTGTGACTTGTGAAGAAACTCGAAAACCCTAGGCTACAGATATCTAGCCAAAAAAGTTGACGTAATTAATGAACAAGTAAAGGAGAGCACACACCTCAACGGCCTTGAGGCTTATGCATCAAAGCATGTGCTGCCTTGACAAATGGCATCAAGAACTCGTTTTTTGAAAAATCGGGTTATATGTTTGCACATACCTTTTCTTAAAAAAAGCATTCGAGAATAATGTCTTGATGCACACCTCAACGGCCTTGAGGCTTATGCATCAAAGCATGTGCTGCCTTGACAAATGGCATCAAGGTGCTAGTTTTGAGAGCCGCATGTAAGGTGTGCACCAAGACATTATTCTCGAATGCTTTTTTTAAGAAAAGGTATGTGCAAACATATAACCCGATTTTTCAAAAAACGAGTGATACTGAAGACACGATCCTTTTTAAGCATTGCTTTCATGTGACTTCATTGACGAATCAATACTTGTTGAAGCTATGGGATGTAAAATACAAAAGTAAGGGAGAATTTCGCCTTAGAAGGAAGCCCCTGCGTGAGCGGTGGTGGACGAAGTGGAAGCGAGAATGTCATCTTGAGTAACGCAAATATTGGTGAGAATCCAATGCCCCGAAAACCTAAGGGTTCCTCCACAAGGATCATCCACGGAGGGTGAGTCATGGCCTAAGATCAAGCCAAAAGGCGTAGTCGATGGACAACATGTAAATATTCTTGTACTATCCCTTGTTGGTCCCGAGGGACGGAGGAGGCTAGGTTAGCCAAAAACTGGTTATTGGCTCAAGAACGTAAGGTGCCCCTACTTTTTCAGGGTAAGAATGTGTAGAGAAAATGCCTGGAGCCAATGTTCGAGTAACAGGCGCTATGGCGCTGAAGTAACCCACGCCATACTCCTAGGAAAAGGTCGTTTTGTCTCCCACATGACCATTTGAAAGCGTATGCTGTATATTGTCTCCATCTTGCCAAAAGTTACTGACAAAAGATAAAAGTTTCCTTTATTTTTGAGATATGATATCTCATCTCGTCAAAGGTTCTGTTATCCCCATTAGAAAAAAATGCTATTGGACAATTACAAATGCCATTCATAACCTTAAAAAGTGTTAGATTATATCACAAAGAAGAAAAAGATATTGTTAAGCAAGACCGATTGAAACTGTAACAGTTTCAGAATGAGTTTATTATATGCTTAAACTATTAAAGTTAATAGACCTTTTCAGTCTTTTATACACAGGTATGATTCCTAGCATTTGAAAAGATTTGGCATAAAGTGGACAGTATTTAACTGTACTTTATAATTATTATATATGTGGAATATCTATATTTCTGTTAACAGATTTTATAGCTTGAGAACCTAAGAATAAAATATGATTTTGTTTCCCGTTAATTTCGTAATTGGCCTTTTATGACAATTGGTGTTTTGAAGAAACCATGCTCCTCCAATAAACATTCCAACTGTTGTAAATAAAAGGTGCAGTTTAAATTAGATGTTTTGCCAGGTCCTACTGTGAATTTGTATTTGTGAATTATTACTCATGTGCAATTTACAGATTAATTCTTCCTGTATCACTTCAGGGTCTGAGATAAATAACATTTGAAGTTTTGAACTCCCAGTGTTTCTTTTGGAATATTAAAATGGTTTTTCTACGACTCATTTGCTGACTTTCTACTGATAAGGGGAAGCATCATTTTGAAATTGTCGGTTTCTATTTTTCTCTGTGTGATGATGGTTCCTATCTTGAATTCGCTGTGAACATCATCAGATTGTCTACAAATTGACTATTGATTTATTGCATTGTACTGTTTCAGGTTCGATATCCTTGTCCTTATAATTATGATCATCGACCATCACTAACTTCTGTTTTTACTATTTATTGAATTCCTTCATCAGTGGACCAGGATTGATATACCTCTCTTATTTTCTTAAATTTACTTCATCTTCACATTCTTCAGATCTTGGCTTCTTCTTTACCTGTGCAAACATTGGGGTCAAATATGGAAACATGACTTTCAATTTGAAAATAGTTGGTCCTCTTTCTGATATATAGTTTGTCATTACACTTTTCTTGATATATCTTTCGTTGTTTCTGGACCTGATGATTGTAATTTTGTTACAGGGGATAAGAATATGAAGAACAAGGTAAATTTTGCATATACGGATGGTCTCACAAGTCCACGTAAAATGTCAAAACGAGCTACTTCCTGCTCAGATTTCAAGGAGAAATCTCTTCATATATCCAAATAGTCTTCAGTAATTGAAACGAGAAAGAATTTTCATGTGGAGGAAGAGATTGTTTCCCTTCGTCTGAATGCTGGAGGGGAAGATGGATGACCTTGTAGAGTCATCTTTCACGATGCGGATGGGAAACTGCCTTTTGACACTGGAAGTTGGTAATCTTTATGTCTCTGGTTTAATCTTGCCTCTAAAGGATATTGCTAAGAAAGAAAAAACAAAGGGGGTTAGATTCGATGGCTTTGGATGCATAGAAGAATGGGGTCTCTCTGGATATGAAGGATATCCAGTTATATGGCTGTTGACTAAAATTGCAGATTATGATTGTATTAAACCCTCGAGTAGTTAAAATGTTATATGCCAACCAGTGCTTGTGTTGAGGTTTACAAAAATTAACATCTTTTGTTCCTTACTTAAGTCTGGACGAGCTGCTTGTGCTGTTTTGTGTGCATTGAGAGGGCAGAAATGCTTATCTAATGTTGCGTCAATCAAGAATTTTATACTTTCTCAGGGTGGGTTCATTTATACAGTTCTTCCATTTGGATGAGACATCAAAGAAGAGTGATAATAAATTTATGGAACTACCTGTCCTTGCTGCACTTCGAGATGATAGTTGCAGGCAAGAGGATCTTACACAAGCTCAGCCTAGATCTTCGTTAGGAATTGGTCCTGAAATAAGTGACAGAAAACAAAATGATTCAATCTGGATTGTTGAATGAAGATTTAAAGCTGGCAGGATTGTTGAATGAAGAAGAGTATTGGAGCTCGTTGAAGCAGGAGAAAAACAAGGATTCAGCTTGCTTGTCAAGAATATATTACATTAAGATTAAATTGCAGATTACTATCCATTGCTTGTCTGTTATAAGAATTTCAACCAAGAAACAGATATGTAATCTTTGATAGTGGTATTTATAATTGTTATGTAGATGACTTTCCCCAAGCACGCTTCACAACTGGGCATTGTATAACTCTGCTCATGGATGATTTCACTGGAGCTCCTTCCAATGAATCTGATGATGGATCTGAGTACATTTTTGACCCCCAATAACAAATCATTCATCTTCAAGTGGTTCTGGGACATCTGAAGTTGATGGAATAGCAATTTATTTGAGTGCCATAAAAGAATGGATGATTGAGTTTGGATCATAAATGGTTTTCATTTCAATACGCACAGGTATGGAATGGTACATGCTTCACAGTTTTTTTTTTTTTTTTAGTCAAATGCACAGTTATTTTGTTTAGAGTGCTGTTTACAATTGTCCTCCTAGAACCTCTTTTGTCTTTATGATTGATATGTGGGTTGATTTATGTTGAGATTTCTCAGCTTGTATAAAAATATGGTGTGCAACACAGATAACCAAGTCCTACCAATCTTGTGAAATGCTTGTGCATCTAGGAAGTGTCTTAGAGAAAGCAAAAGCCAATGTCTTCAATTATCTATGAAAACTTGGTGTTGTCAGTAGCTCAGGAGCTACTGAACTGTGATTCATTAGGTTATTGGTTTTTCTTGATGATAGCCATGATGATAGAAGCTTCTCACATCTGCCATGATTAATTGGTGTCATCTATAGTAATTTGTTATCAGGAAAAAGCTTGGGAGGCCATCACAGCAAAATTTCCCCAGAGAAGGCATAGGCATACTCTTCAGATATTAGAAAGGTGAGTTTTATAATCTATAGCACGGACGCATGTTGGACACCATCACTCATCGGATACTCTAGAATGCGTGTCAACACACTACTTGACACCTCTTATTGTATATAATATTTTAAGTTTCCAACATTTAAGAGACATTTTCCAGACATGCTTCATGCACAAATCTGACATGCCTCGTGCACGTCCGGCACGTCTTGTGCACGTTATAATTCTGACCCAAGAGGAACTATCCTCGACACATTAAGGACAAAGAAAGCCC